TGTGACTACCAAAGACAGGATAAAGTAATCCATGTTATATGCAGACTTTTGTGTAAAATACCTTGGAGTATCCAAGATAAAAGTTCTAAAATGAGAACTGCTCTTATAATTATAATATTTATGATAATTCTTTTTATTTATATCCCCAAAACGACATGTTTCATGAATGCCCTTTAATTAACACTGATTACAACCTTTCACTGAAGACAGTGTTCCATTTTACCTGACATTTCTACAGTCATCTGAGCATTAATGGGAACAATGAGGGATGCAGATTGAATAGTCAAGTATTTGCACCTTTCTCTACTGGAACAGTGTTTTAATTGTGAGAATCAAAATAGATAATATATATCAATTATCTTAATAAGTTCTCCTAGTTATATTGATTTTGTGTTTCAGTGTTTTCTAAATATCTTATAGCTTAGGGATAGAACGTAATTGAACTCACTGAAGTTCCGAATTCCTGTTCTTAGCTTATTCATTTAAAACAACTTAGCTAGTATAATAAGGAAAGATAATATTGTCTGGCAATACTAAGCCTAGATGGAACAGTATTGTAATCTATTAAGATCATCTACTACGTCTGCAGGAATTTTCCACTTAAAGAAAGGAATCTATGTTATTTCAATATTCCAGTGCTGTCAGGAATGGAAATACTCTTAGAACTTCTCTTGAGCAGATTGTTCTATGAGACAAAAATGGTAGGATTCCTAACGTGGCTGCTGAGGTAATGGCAAGGCAAAATTATCATTAGTCACAGTCCCATGTTAAAAAGGAATTGGTCTTCCTGTCTTCATCATTCTGTCCTAGAAGTGGCAACAGAGGCAAAAGCTATGTAAGTGTGTAGTTGCTGATTGGATCATCTTTGCTGATGGCATCAATCTGCATCTCTGATCCGGTGCAGAAAGATAAAGGCAGAAAGGCACTTTTTCTTCCATTTTTGTAATCACTTCTCCTTGAATTACTTTAATAGCAACCCTCCTCTCAAAAGGCTAGGCAGAATATAAAAAGAGGGTTCACAACAGTCCACCTTGACCATTGAAGGACTAATGCAAATGCCAGCAAGTCAGTTCCTGAGCCACGGTTGACTATTTCCCTTCTACTCCCACTTCTTGTTTCTAATGTGGAACATTAACAAAGCATTCTACTGCCAGACGCCTACCTATGTGGCTGTGTCTTTTGAGGGGATAGGGATAGATAGCGTGCATCTACAGTGCATAGAATAGATAAACTACAGTGTATCTCACCACAGGGCAAAATAAAGGCATGAATGCCCATGAATCAGGTTCAGCTCCTGATGGCTACATGGATATAGTCATGGATTTTGGGGGGGGGGTGCAATAGTACAGAGGTGGTTTTTCACTGTCTCCTGGGATATAATCTGATCCAAGAGTCTAGCCTGAAGGCCAGGTCCTCTGTGGTGTTTTCCCATCCAAGTGCTAATCAGGACTGGCCCTGTTTAATTTCCAAGCCCAAACAGCCAGGCATTACCATCTGATTGTTTGTTTAATAAATTTCCCTAGACAACAAGAAAAAGAGGAAGGAATAATATACCTAAAGCAGTGCTGAATTCATTACGTTTGAGTCTGAAGGCTTCCCCAACCTGGAGTCTGTCAGATATACTGGACTCCATGTCCCACCATCCCCATATAGTACACTGCTAGCTGAGGATGAAAGGAGTTCTAGATCAACTTACCTGGAGGGCATCAGGCTGGGCAAGATTGTTGTAAAGCATAGTATCGTAGGACAGCTTTTTCCAACCCTTCCAAATGTTTTGGATGACAACACTCACTAAGCTTGAGTATGTCTTAAACATGTCCTGAAGATGTTCAGTGTTTCTACTCCAGTTTGTGATGTACAGTATACAATCTAGCTGCCATTTTGAGAATCATAGTGCTATACTGGTTAATTACTGTATCAATTCCCCCACCACTACCATCTTTCCTCTCCCCACCTTTATGGCCAGAAGAGAAATTTGCACTATAGGAGTTTACAGTATAGTACAGAAAATGCTTTGGCCCTTATTATGGGGGCTGCTCTGTAGAAATACAGGAATCCTGTGACCAGGATACAAAGCATTTCTGGAGTACAATAACATTTCCATTGTAGCATTTAATCTTAACCTATATACAATTATCTTCTTATTTACTTTTATCGATATTCTTAGTTCTCTTTTGCACCATCTCAATTATTTTTTCCCCCCCTCAGGGCGTCATCTTGCTATTTTTCAAAGCAATTTGACCTACTTAATTCCAGGTAGCACCATGGAGGTTTATGTTAAACGATCTGCATCCTCAAGAGGAAGTCTTTGATTGAGATGCCATAGAAAACACCACATTGTTACTGGGACTAATGTTATCAACACAAATGGATGGCTTACATTATTTCTGCTGTGAGGCTATTATCTACACCAGCTTTATGTGACAAATGTTTCAATAATCAAATCTCTTTATTCAAGAACTTATCCATCCCAGAGGTATTCCGTAAGCTGTTTCATACTGTTACAACTATGCAAGTCTCAGTTTCAGCCACCACTGGGATTGGACGAATTGGCTTTATGTATATTCAATTGTGTATTTCTAGCTTCTGTGTAAGTTAAAAAAAAAAGTACACAAATACATTTATTTTTCTATGCAATTGTCCTTCAGGGACACATTAATATAGGCTTTCTCTAATATATGCATTTTTATACACACGCTTTTCCTTAATTTAGGCATTGTGCACTATTTTATAAATAAGCAATGTGCTATTGAGAATAAAACCAATTAATTTGTGTATTAATAATAATTTATTAAACTTGTATGCCGCCCACATCCCAATGACATTTGGCAACTGTTAGTCCAGGAAGTGCAAATTAATGTGGATATACACCTGATATTCCTACTTTACTGTTTCTGGATTTAATAAGTTTTGTAATGTTTAAATTTATGTAAATATGATGGTTGAATAAGTGCAAATGTACACAGCTTAATGAGTGGACAGAAGGGTTTACCAGTAGATTCTTGAATGAGTTGCAGGGGATGTGCAAAGAATTCTAAATACCAAATAATTTATCATTTTCAGCAACATTATACTGCAGTTCTGGTACTCAGAACAGGTTCATATTTTAGTATTTCGTTCTAGTTGCATCTACTTTCATCCTTGTGTATAGGGATTTAATGGACAGCTTTCAGTCAGCTTTTTAACATAGTTCTGTAAACCTGAAATCTTTCCATCAGGTTTTAAAAACACCCAGCAGCACATTCCTTTGCCCCACATAGTTACATCTTGCCAGAAGCCAAATTAAAGTTTGAATTGCACTCAACCTCCTTTATTTCCCTTCTGTCTCACAGGCATGTTGATCTAATTTAAACTGCCTTTGAGGAGAGAGAGTTAAACCTTTCATTAAAACTGATGATGATACCTTTGAAAGTTAAATATTTCCAAATCACTGTTTTCCATTTACACTCAATTTCCCTAACAAAAGATATTTTAAGGGACTTTGCACCTGATTATTTAAATTTCCAGCATTTCTTCTGGCTAAATTAACCTTTTCCAGTTCCAAACCTTAAAATAATATCTTGGACCTATTGTTGTCATTGTATAGCGCAGCCAGAAAAAGAAAAGATGGAGGCATGACTATTTACTTTGATTATTTTAATTTAACATGATTAAGTGGGATGTGTTTAAAGTTTTGTACCAATCTTGGAGGTTGTTCAGTTTACTTTCAGTGAAAGAAATCCTGCTGAGCAAAATGTTCAGTGACTTGTATGCATATGTATGTGTTTTCTAAAAAGCAATACATTTTCCCATTCTGATAATGGATTGTTGTTCCTTTAAAAAAAGTTTCATCTTTTCCAATTTAATAAACAAAAAACTTTAAGATACCATTGAACATTATTTTCAGCTGTTAACATGAAACTTCAGACACTTATTGTCTTCTCCATTCAGAGTCTTATATAATAATAATTTAGTAAACTTGTATGCCACCCGATTCTCAATGATTCTGAGCAGCTCACAACAGCCAAAGAAATTATAATAAAACATGAAAAATAAAGAAAAAAGATAGCAAGCACAACGAAATGGGGCATCTCCTTCACCAAAGGCCTGGGAGAAGAGCAAGGTCTTCACAGCTCTTCTAAACAACTTCAGAGTGGGGGCCATCCAGATCTTGGGGGGAACCTTGTTCTAGAGGGCGGGCACTGCTACGGAGAAGGTGTGCTTCCGGGATTCTGAGGGATGGTATTATTTAATTGAAGGAACCTGGAGCACACCAACTATAAATCATAGTTTTTGGAAATAACTGCCATTGAACTTAAAGCTATTAACCATCCAGGAAATATGAATAGAAATTTATTACAAGGAAGGTGACAGGTTTAGATGTGATTGACAGGAGCGTCAGTGGGAATGCAGATGGACAGTGCAGCCAGAGAGTTCTTCCTGAGTTTTTACATGATTTTGTTTTCAGCTAATTAGCGCTTTTTAATACACTTGTCAATACTGCTGATTCTGCTGGAAGCCAGGACCATAGAGTTGGAAGCAGCTATTTAGGTGATTACATCCAACTCCCTGCTTAGTGCAAGAATTCAGATTCAAGTATCTCATGCTAGACTGGCTTCTCTTTCAACCTGTGAATATTAGAAGTAAGTTTTTCTAACATTCCTTTTTACTGTTTTTACTGTTTTTTTGTTACAGCAAAACAATTATTGTTGCTGCAATCACTGTAGAAAGATTTTTTTTTTCTAATCAAGTCCTGGCTTGGGATGAAGGAATCCCAGGCTTACACAAAATTTACACAGTGATCCATACTATAGATCTGTCATTATTTGTTTGGATTTTTTCTTTTCAGCTCTTATTTTCAGTAATGCACAGCAATTGGATTCACATGTCATGCTAAATCACAAGCCCAGTTAGTAAACCATCATGACAAGCTCCATACAATACATTTAGTATGGTCTATGAATTGGGTTCAAGTGGAACCTACCTCCCAAGTCTATGCTGAGACTATCTGGGCATCATGGAAGAAAGCGTAGCCCCATAGCAACATCTCCTATATCACAAGACCTTCTGATGAGGCAACATGAGTTTAAAATGTAGGCATTTTTGAAAGTTCTCACTTATAAGTGCATGGGAGCACTTATGTGCATGTACACACACACAAACAGCCTGAATATAAGAAACCTCTATAGCAGAACTCCATTCCAAATCATATCCATCCCAGAACAGTGCTTTTAGAGGATCAACATTCTTAGGTGGTCAACATTTTTCCAGAAATTCTCATACCCTACTGTGATATGAGAAATATGTTTTTCCTCTTATGGATGATTAAGGATGAGACTGAGACACTGATTCATTTTAAGGGGCAAATCAGTATTACATGGAAAGAATTCTAAATCTCTGCTCCAGCTGCTTTTTTATGGGGGTGAGATAAACACAGAAACCCTTCTCCCAGGAATGGGAAAGTAGCCTGAGGAGGGCATTCTTAATAAGAGAAAGGTTCAGAAGCAAAAGGAACCAGTCCACACAGTTTGTGTAATAATGCCGCTTGCTCTTACACAAACTGCCAGTAAGATTTAAACATGTTTTCTTTCAATAATTGCAGTGTCCCTCAGCTGCATTTCACTGTGGGGAGGGAGGTGCTATTACACACACTTGCTATTGTATTATAATCTCTAATTTGGTCCAAAGGCAATTTAATAATACAAGGATGTTCACACCATACTTTAAGCTTCCCTATACCACCCATGTTGACTTGACCTATGATACTAAGAGAAATATTTTGATCACTTGAAGGCTTTAGTTGACATTCTGTGGAGGTTCTCTGTAGGTAGCCAGAGGGTTTGCACCAGTGCCCTGTTTGGACAGTGCTGATGAGTGTTGCCAAGACTTCATTAACACACAGCTGCACTCCCCTTCGTTGCTATTATTATGCAACTGCTGGGCAAGAACGTACAGAAAGGACGCTCTAAAGGGAGAAGAAGCCATGAGCACTAATACTATTTAGCAGCAGAACAAAGCTGCCCTACTGACAAGGCCCTGGTTATAATGGTGACCTCTCTAAAGTGGGGTTTGCAATGGAAACACAAACAGAGAAACAAAAGATTACTCTTCTGATGCCAGCTGCTCTGGATTAGTAAGAGATAATGGCTTATCTTTCCTACCTTTCAACCCTGGGAGATAAAATCAGAACAATGTACTTTCAAGATGGGAGGTCAACTCCCAGTTTCTTATCAGCCAAATGCTAAATCTTGAACACTATCACCTATTACTTTGAATGCTAGGTAATGCTTTCAGCAACTTGAGACCATGAAGATTGGTCTCAAAGGCTGCACTTTTTAAAAACACTAGACATTTTCTTTCCTTGTCATGCATTTTAAATAGCAAACATTTCACATTTCTTCTAAAGTTCTTTTTGTCATGTCCTAATCTTTGAAAATATAAAATGATAATAGAATTTAATATTCCCTTTTCATCCAAATATATTTTTTAATTTATATACTGCTTCCTTGTCTTGATATTCGGTGTGAATTAATGAGCTGTAATGAATTTGGACATTCTCTTCAAATGTCTGCTCAGTCATGAATTCTTCAAGGGTTCAATTAGCACCCAAAGGAAGTCCCTTTATGGCATCTGACTTCCACTTCCAGGTGTAAGAAGACTGAATGATTGAATTTAGAGCAGCTGTAAAATTTATGGTAACAAGCCATGGTTCCAAGCAGCTCACTGGATTATTTGTCATAGACTAGAGATATCTGATGGGGCTGCAAAAATCTTGATGACTGCAGATTGCAGCAAGGGACATCTGAATTTCAGCTGCTCAGATATGGCAATCCCCATTCAGCACATGTTACACCTCTGCTCTGCAAGCTGAATTGGTTGCCAGTTTGCTTCCAGATTCAATTCAAGGTACTGGGGATGACACTAGAAAGTCCTACATGGCATAGGGGAAGGTTATTTGAGGGACTGGCTCTCCCCAGTTCAATTTACCCACCCCATCAGGTCTGGCAGAAAGGGCATGTTATGGGTCCTATCTATTAAGGAGTGTCATCTGATGGGACCCAGGAGGAGACCCTTTTCTGCTATAGCACCCACCCTTTGGAACATCATCCCCCCATAGGTTAGATTGACCCCGACCCTGCTTGCCTTCAGAAAGGCTCTAAAGATATTGTTGTGTCAACATGCCTGGGGGTCCAGTTTTGATTCAGAGTCTGTCAGATGACTATAATGATTGTTCTATGACTTTACTTCCCTGATGTATATATTTCTCCATTTTAATGTTGGTTTTTAATTGGGTCTTTAATTTGGTTGGGGGGGAGTGTTATTCTGTTCTTTATTGATTTCTACGTTTTATTGGTTGTGTTATTTGTTGTTTTTAATTATGTGACCTGCCCAGAGTCACAAATGTGAGTTCGGCAGCTATACAAATTGAATAAATACATAAATAAATCTTTCCATAGACTACAGAATCAGAGTACATTTCCAGGTGTTTTCTCCAGTTTAAAGAAGGAAAGAAAATAGATAAATGGATAAAGGCAGGTGCTGGGTTGAACCATGTTGCATTTCAGAGATGGTCTTCTTCCTATCTGCCCACCATCATTAAGCTGCTATGCTGAGGATCGTAGTTTCATAGAAGAACTCTAAGGAAACCTCAGAGGATCACATTTATTTTTCAATTATGAATGCCCAAAACTGGACATGAAAATAATAGCTATTTCTAATAATTAATATTCAGAGATGCAGTGCCTTTGATTCTGAAAACAATATAGAGCAGCACTGTGACTTAGTGGCCTTTCATGAATTTGTCATCAGAAATTATTCATTCCTTTTTAATGTCTTCAGAATAGATGGCCATCACCCCATCTGGCCTATTTGACTTCAGAAAATGCCCTAGTAGTAGGGAAGAAGGAGAAAACCTTCCCCCAGCCACTCTTTCCCTACCACGCATAATCCTATACATTCAAGTGCTCTGCTCTCAACTTGACTTTTTTTTCTAAGCTAAACTAGACTCAGATATAACTTTCTCTTATAGTGGAATTGCTCCAGTCCTTTTATCATTGTAGTAACTCTTCTTCAGCTGTATAAGATCATGTTGAGGTGTAATTGAGGTAGAACTATTCCAGCCAGTGGCTTCATCTGTTTCTATAAAGGCATTATATATATATAGACTATTGCAATGCGTTCTACGTGGAGCTACCCTTGAAGAGTATCCGGAAGCTACAGCTGGTTCAAAATGTAGCTGCGTGGGCAGTTTTGGGTGCCCCAAGGATGGCACATGTTACACCCTTGCTGTGGGAGCTGCATTCAGTGCCAGTTTGCTTCTGGGTCCAATTCAAAGTATTGGTTATCACCTTTAAAGCCCTACATGGCATGGGACCGGGTTACTTGAGGGATGGTCTCACCCCCATTTTATCCATCCGTCCCACCCAATCAAGCAGAGAGGGTATGCTGCAGACCCTGTCAACGAAAGAATGTTGACTGGTGGGGCCCAGAAGGAGAGCCTTCTCTGTCATGGCCCTCGCCCTATGGAATGCCCTCCCCTCAGAGGTGAGGCAGGCCCCTATTTTCTTGACCTTCTGGAAAGCAGTTAAGACCTGGCTCTGCCAACTTGCATGGGGAGAAAAAAGGGGCAACCAATCCTGGGGGTGGCTAGCACCTTGAAGATGCTCCCGTATGTTAATATCTTTTCTACTAGCAGCACCTTGGAAGATATTATTATTTATGTATGTATTTGTTTTCTATTGTGTTTTTACTGTATTTTTATACTATTTTTATTGTATTTTAATTAATGTTTATTTGTTGTTTTTATTGTAAACCGCCCAGAGTCACTTCCTCATGAGATGGGCAGTGGCCAAATTTGAAATATAAATAAATATATATAAAACATTATATTGGGACTCCTTCTGGGATGAAGAGTGGTATATCAACAAAATGAATGATAAAAATGACAATAGTGATAATTTTATTTAAAATTTCTTTCCTAACCC